TGAAAAATTGTTCTAGACTCTGATGAATTTTTATAATTTATCTACTTATCGTAGGTCTATCATATTTTAATTTGTTCCCGACCATAACCTCTATCATCATACAGAGTTTTATAAATATCATCAAAATCAATTTTTTGACCAATTAATCAGCATTTCAAAATTTGTTTAGGATTTTTGGTTAAAGCGTAGACAAACATTTTCCAATAATCTTATTATATTAAATATGTACTATAAATAATATATTAAATATTATATGTGTTATATTTTGCAAAAACAACTTCTAAATCTTATAAAACATGGTATTTTTTCAACTTGAAAAATAAGCTATTAGGTTGAAAAATAATATATTAGCTTATGTGCTAATTAATTTAAAGAAACGGCTTGGATAATGGACTCACAAAACAACGACAATAATTATTAAATTTCATCACATGGCATTTAAATTTTTGGAATCCGTTCAATCATTTTCAAGCAAATAAACAGATTTAAAATAAATAGACCATAAAATAAATTTCTTGACTATAGCTAGATATTTTACACCAATCAGACAATATTTTGCAAGAACAACTCGTAAGTTTTTTAAAACAAAGCATTTTCTCAACTTGAAAAATAAGCGATTAGCTTGAAAAATATTGAAGCTTATTATTATTATTATTATCTTACTATTTCTATTATTGTTAGTTTGTTATATTTTATTATTTTTCTAGTATTATTTTATTATTCAGAAATTTTATTTATATTATTTATTAATTTTATTTTTATTATTATTTGCTTATATTTTATATCAAATCATATTGCGGATATTATTTTCATGTAAATTTTATCCTTTGCACTTTTATTTATTTAAATTTATGTTATTATTTATTATATATATTACTAGATGTTAATAATTTAACAGTTGTAATAATTATTGAAATTAAAAAAAAAAAGCTTGAAAAATAATATATTAGCTTATCTGCTAATTATAAAGAAACGGCTTTTATAATGGACTCACAAAACAACGATAATCCTTACTAAATTCCATCAAATGTAAATTTGAAATTTTGAAATGAAATCAACCGTTTCCTAGCAGGTAAACAATTTTAAAATAAACAGACCACAAAATAAATTTGTGGTCTATAGCTAAACATTACACCACAGACAATATTTTGCAAGAACAACTCCTAAATCTTACAAAACAAAGTATTTTTTCAAGTTGAAAAATAAGCTATTAGCTTGAAAAATAATATATTAGTAAACAAAGAATTTTTTCAAATTGAAAAATAAACTATTAACAACGGCTATCCTTATTAAATTTCATGAAACGGCTTTTAAATTTATGGAATCCGTTCAGCAGTTTCTGCCGTTTTCTAACAAATAAACGGTTCTAAAATAAACAGGCTACAAAAGAAATTTCTTGACTGTAGTTAGATACGTTACACTACAGACAATATTTTGCAAGAACAACTCCTAAATCTTACGAAAGATAGCTTTTTTCAACTTAAAAAATAAGTTTGAACAAAGAAATTACAGGTGCTCAAGCAAATTAAATTTACCAACGTTGATGCAATATTTTAATGTATCAACTCTAAAATCACAAAAACGTCTAATGTTTACACCTACAATTTGTAGTAGAACATAGTATTCCTCTGCAAACATTACCAGTCCCAAGATAATTTCCGTTCTCAGTTAATTCCTCTATCATAAATACTACCAGTTTGCGTATAATGATTTAAGTACTTCTAAAAGCTCTGCTAAACGTGGAACATAATTAACTATATAAAATTCACTTCGCATACAAAAGCTGTTCTCTTTTAGCACTAGAGAGAAAAAAGTCGGTCTCCGTGGCCATTTTGACACCTGGCGGTGTCGCAAACCAATCGCGCCGTCGCGCACCCGACTTCGGTGACAACACCGACCAATGAATGGCCTTGCTTACGAACCCTCCGACAAAGGAAGAGGGGCGCAGACCCTTCGTCCCCTGACGGAAGACTCACCCTTTGCAGAAGTTTAGACTCGCGACGTATTAGTATTAGGTTACAACGGATGAAGAAATGTTTGCAAAAGGTAAAAGTTAGTCGACGTAGAAGATATCGTATATTGAGTTTTTATCTATATTTTATAAGCATATTTAGATCATAGCTCAATAAAAACTCCTTTCAATATTAAACATTTTAGAAATCTGGTTTACCAAATTAATTGCTCAAATTGTGACCAAATCAGCTCATTTCACATTTACCCTGAGAGAGGGTACGTGCCCTCTAATTTATTTAAATAACGTCCAGATTCCGAAACAGAACATAGTGAAATATCTTGGTCTCCATTTAGACAGAAGACTCACTTAGAAAAGCCACATAAAAACAAAAAAGTAGCAAATAATGATCAAAATGAAAGAATTTGATTGGCTACTGCGTAAAAAGTCTAAGCTCCCTGTTGAAAATAAGTTGCTGTTATATAAATCAATTATTAAACCAATCTGGACCTACGGAATTGAGCTCTGGGGATGTGCTTACAAATCAAATATAGCTATAATGCTGAGAACTCAGTCCAAAATTTTACGTAAAATTCTCAATTCTCCGTGGTACGTGACAAATGAAACCATTCACAGCAACCTCAACATGAAAACGGTGCAATTAACGTTCAAAGAATTCAAGGGAAAATACAAACGCAAACTGGACTCACATTCGAACCCATCTATAGTTGACATTACTCAATCTTTTGGCATAAGGAGACTGAAACGACAATGGCCTTTAGACTTAGTCTTAGATTAGGTCTAATATAATATCATATTAATTGTAAAACTGAGAAGTTCTCATTGGAGTTCTTCTTGGGCATCGCTCTTAAATATTGTCATTTTAGCTCATAGGAATCTTTATGTATTTCTGATTGCTAAATAAAACTGAGTTAAAAAAAGTGACATAATATAAATTGGCGAAACCAGACAAAATTGAATAAAAAGACTTCGTAACACAGAAACTATTCTAAAAATCTTAAACAATTTAAAATTGTACTTTCTAAGCATGCTAACATATCGAAACACAAGTGAAACTCAACTCAAAAAAACTTTTTTGAATTACGAACACCTTAGGAATCTGGTTTATCAAATTAATTGCTCAAATTGTGACATAATATATATTGGTGAAACCAAACACAGTTTAATAAACTGACTTCAGAAACACAAAAACAATTAAAAAAATCCCAAACAATTTAAAATTAATCTTTCTAAACGCGTTTACATATTGAAACACATTTGGATCCTAACTCAAAAAAAACTTTTTTCAATTACGAACACCTTAGGAATTTGGTTTATCAAATTAATTGCTCAAATTGTGACATAATATATATTGATGAAACCAAATACAATTTAATAAACTGACCTCAGAAACACAGAAACAATTTAAAAAAATCCCAAACAATTTAAAATTAATCTTTCTAAACGCGTTAACATATTGAAATACATGTTTACAACGTGATAAAACTTAGTTGGCATAGCCGATATCTTATATTGTGCTTTTATTGAGTTTTTATCTATGTTTTATAAGTATATTTATATCCTAACTCAAAAAAAACTACTTTCAATATCGATTTCTAAATCTCATAAAACAAGGTTTGAATTTTCAGTTTGAAAAATAAGGTATTAGCTTGAAAAATAAAATATTAGCTTATGTGCTAATTATAAAGAAACGGCTTGGACAATAGTCTCACAAAACAACGACAATCCTTATTAAATTTCATGAAATGGTTTCTAAATTTTTGAAATCCGTTCAAACGTTTTCTAGCAAATAAACAGTTTTAAAATAAACAGACCACAAAATAAATTTCTTGAGTCTTATAAATCTCAGAAATCTGGTTTATCAAATTAATTGCTAAATTGTGACTTAATATACATTGGTAAAACCAAACAAAATTTAATAAAACGACTTCGTAACACAGAAACAATTCCAAAAATCCCAAACAATTTAAAATTGTATTTTCTAAATACGTTAACATCATGAAACACAAATATACTTTTATTAACCCGACTGCGCCTAATTTTGAAGAAAATTAACTGGAAAGACGTTTTGCTGAAGGATGTTTTATTCAACTATTTAACGAAAAAGTAATGAATATAAGGCAATGATATTTAATTCCAACAAAATGTTGGTTTTTATGGATTGTTGAAGATGTTGAATCTTATCAAAAAAGTATTAGTCACAATTTGAATAAAAAATTCGCAATTAGTTTCACGCATGTTGTTAAAAAAAATGCCTTAAAAATTATATATTTAGCTTGTATAGAGATCGCATAAATATTCTACTGTAGAAAATTATTCTGTAGGATAAGTTGTGATAAATATTTATGTAAATATAACCATTTTAATATTCTTAATACGAAGTATAGTATTATACCATGTTTGTGACGAAGGTTGATGGGGCCCTATCTTTGGGGGTCCTTCTACCACCGTGTTATTGTTATTTTTATTATTATAATAAGCTAATAGTATTATAAAATTTTACTTAATTTTTTTTATTTCCCGAACACTATTATCGCATATTTTTAAAAATCCAATGAATAAAGGATAGGACTATAACCGAAACATCCAATTTTTAAAAATATACCAAATATACTATAACCAAAACGTTATTTTGTAAAATTGAAATTCACATTAATCAAAAGATTTTCAAGATTTTCAATTATATACACCTGATTGTTAGGCTCTGTTATTAGATAATAAAATGGGAATGAAATAGTTAATAAATAATAAATTAATAATAACATACTAGAATATTTATCACCTCACATTATGTAAAAATGATAAAATATAAATAGTATTTGTTTAAATGATTTGATAAAAAGAATAATTTTGCTAAAATCAGTGCATATGTATCTAAGATCTCAACCATTCTATTTGACCTAAAAAAAGTTCCATCAACGACATCTACCATCACATGCATCAATTACTAATGTCAACTCTGGCAACACTTTATGAAACGTCAATGATCAATTTTTGACAATTGATAATTCAAAATTGTTATGTATTGAATAGCATGTTTAAATTATAATTGTCAAATAACTAGTAAACAAACAATAATTATAATGAGTCTAATATATCAAGAAGTTGTAAACGAACACATAAATTGCAATCCGAATTTACCAGATACTATCACACCAGACGATGTTCTAAAATTAACTAACATTACTGAAGATTATTTATGCAGCCCAGATGCAAATATATATGAAATTGATTTTACTAGATTTAAAATACGTGATTTAGAATCAGGAGCAGTACTGTTTGAAATTGCAAAGCCTTCTGTTGACATCACAGATCATGGAGAGGCAGATTTACCCGATGAGCCCCTAGATCCAAACTCTGGAAGATTTGTAAGATATCAATTTACACCACAGTTTTTGAAACTAAAAACAGTTGGTGCTACGTAAGTATTCCAAGGTTTTCATTATCAATTTGGATTCATTTTACCCAGTATCACATTTTAGTGTGGAGTTCACTGTTGGTCAATTTCCAGTTAAGAGATTTCGCATGATAGAACGCCATTTCTTCAGAGATAAGTTACTGAAAACATTTGATTTTGAATTTGGATTCTGCATACCTTATTCAACCAATACTTGTGAGCACATTTATGAATTTCCTTCTTTGCCAGCTGAATTGGGTGAATATATAATTACATTTAACTTCAAAGACTTTCTACAATCCGAGATATAACAAATGTTTTTATTTCAGTAAATGAAATGATTGATTCTCCATTCGAAACACGTTCCGATAGCTTTTACTTTGTGGAAGACAAGCTTGTTATGCATAATAAAGCAGATTATGCTTATGATGGGGGTTTGCCATAAATTCTGATAATATATTAAATGTATTCAAATTGCCTTATCTAATATTTAAATGAAAGCACATGATAATAAGACACAGACATTTGGCATTTGTTGGGTTTGTCAATATGAAAAATAATCACTGTGTTCTAAATTCAATTAAGACTAAAAAAAAACTTTATTATATTCTAGATTGTTGATCAATTTTAAGCCGTATTTGCGTATTGTTTATATTTAAAAGTTTTGTACCTGATTTTCTATTTTAAATTTAAGGCCTATTTGACTATTTCTAAATTTTACTATGATTCCTGTGATTTTAAGTTATGTACATTTAAATATAGATTATTTTTTAAATTTAATTGAGATTATGTAAGCTTAGTAGTATTTATTAGATTTAACTCAGAGTATATATTAATGTAGCAAGCGAAATATTTCAATTATAAAATTATTATTAGCCTATGAAAGTCTAGAGCAGAAATAATTTGATTGCTAATAATTTAAAATTTGAGTGGCTTGTAGAAATCAACTAGGCAACATGATTTAATATGTTCACAGGCTTTAACTACACAATTATGTTATACTTAGTATACTATCTTAATTCTTGTGATAAAAAATTATTTATTTATTTAGTAATGTAAATTGGAGGAATTGAAGTATAGCCCTTATGAAATTAATCTATTTTTTATTTTTAGTATCACAGGAAGTTCATTATTTAATCTCATTTAAAAATGGTATTATAATATTCATAAATTCACTTGGTTTATCAGCATGTAACCAATGTCCAGCGCCTTCAATGTAAGAAAAAGTTGCATTTGGAAACATTTTCTTAATTTCAGGCTCATCAGTTTTTCTACAATATGTATAGCGTTATTATTTAGCAAATAAGAGTAAATTAAATAATTGTACCTTATATAATCCGAATTGCCTCCAGCCACAAAAACAGTTGGACCTCTATATTGTAAACTTTTTGCTTGTTCTGGAAACAAAGCAACATGTCTTGCAAAATTATTATCTAATGCATCAATATTCACTCTCCAACCATACCTAAAATTGCACTTTAAGTTTAATAACTTCATCAAGCAGGACAAAACAATTGAAACATATCATACCCATTATCACTTCTGACTAGATTTGTTATCAGAAAATCTCTTAAAGATTTTTCTGAAATTTCTTTGGCAAATAGTTTATCAGCACTCTGCCGAGCTTGTGCTAATGTTTCCTTAGGATTAATTTTCACTTTTCTCATAATATCGAAATATTTTCCCATTAATTTTAGATTTGGACTAGCAGTCACAGGCGAGATATCAGCAACAATTAAGCTTGAGACCAATTGTGGCTAAAGAGGAGAGTTGTACTTAAATGATATATTTTAATGCATATAATTAATAGAAAAGAAAATAGTTACATATTTTAAAGCAAGCAACATCATGGCACGTCCACCCATACTGTGGCCCAATACCGTTGCAGATTTTAAACCTAAATTTTCTATTAATGACTTTACATCCTCAGCTAGATGGAAATAGGTGTGTTCTTTGTGATGGGGGCTATCACCATGATTTCTAGCATCTACGGATATTACCTGAAAAGAGAAAACAATTCATGTATTCAACCTATTATGGACGAATGAAATCTGAATCACATGTAATGAATAATGAACTTTAATGAATTTCTTTATATGATGCTAAGGGGCCATTCAAGTATTACGTAAGCACTATAGAGGGGTAGGGGGGTTGTTGATTTGCTTATTTTGGGTTGACTTTGCGACTGGGGGGCAAGGGAGTCTAGATGATGATTACGTCATAGGTAGTATTTTTATTTTTTTACATTAATTGCAAAATCTTTACGTAAGCATGGGGGTAGGGGGTAAGAGCTTTGCTTACTTTTGCTGACAAGAGGGATGGGGCGGTAAATAATTGTAATAAATCTGCTTACGTAATACTTGAACAATCCCTAAGGACACGTAAAGTTTCCTTTTATAAAAAATATCATATAAACTGTCTTTAGCACTTATTGTACTATGTTTATTAAGCTGGTACATAGTAATTTCGCTAACTTTAAATTATATAGAGTTCTCTTTGAATAGCTTATATACTTAATATTTGATGAGGATTTTGCTCAATTTTTGAACCATATTAGAGTAAAACTGTGACATAAAAGATTTCTGTTATAAGATGGGTATTCTTAATATTCAAACCATGTTACAGTGAATTCATGTTATAGAAGTATCGTAAGCTATCTGCACAATTTGGTTCATATTAAAATTATTACCATAAAATCTTAAGTAATTACCTTTCTATTAGTTTTTGCATGTATTGCCTTGCTTATACTATTCCAGTTTTGCTTTGATCCTAACAATCCATGCATTATTATTAATGGTGATCTTTCGTCTCCAGATTTGGTTGTCTCATAAGAATTGAATGCTAACCGTACTGTTTCAATATGATGTGATTCCTTCCTTTGACTATGATCATTTTCTGCAGAGAAATATCTTAATTGCAAAACCTTTTGATATACTTTTGATTCTTTAAAATAAAAATTGGCCGTCGGCCTCAACATTTTTGCACAACTCGAAATTGAAGGTTATAATCCTAGATAATATAATAAGTGCATGCATGTTACCAACCTGTTAGACATGACATCGGCTCACTAGCGCCAAATTTGCGACTGGCATTCGTTACTGGAACTACGGGTTGTGAACGCGGATTTTGTACTGAGATGGTAGAGAGCCAGGGCCTGGTTATAATAACCAGGATAATAATTGTCCAGGATAATAACATTCGACAAGTAGTACTTCCTACACAATATAATATGAATAAATGACAAGAACAAAAAAAGTTAACTCATGAATGAAATGTAAGACTACATCCACATTGCACAAATTCTGGTACAAACATTAACTCTGTGTCATCCACAAAATCCACAAAATATAATGATTAATTTTTTTTATTATTTAAGTAAATACAACTATAAAATACTTGAATATTTAAATTAATTTCTATTTACAAATTTTCTTAAATATTGCATATATTAGCTATAAATATATATAGTTTTTACATATAAGAACATCTTCGTTAATTATTTTTACATTATATTTATATAATAGATGTATAATTATATTAAATCAGCGGTACATTAAAAAAAGTAAACCATTATGTCAAAATGTAATAGTTTCAAACTTAAAGTAAATTTTGAATATAAATATGATCATAGATAAGGAATGCCTATGATAATAAGTATTTGCAAAAAATAAAATACGTACTGTTATACGTAATGTTATGTAAAACTTATTACTTGAATTTGTATCAGACTAATTAAAATTAATAATTTGCAGATTATATATTAAATTAATTTGTATTCTTAGCTTTATATATATAAAATTTGGTCAAATAAATTATCTTATGGCAACAAAGTCTATACATACTTATAAATAAACATTATAAACAAAAATAATATGTTTTAAAATTCATTTATAAAATTCTCATACTTGATAAATCTTCAAATATATTCAACATAGTTGAATAAAGTCTTTTATTGAACTTTTCTTATTTTAGAAGTTAGCACGCTGTAAACTTGCAAAATGCCTTCAACAAATTCTCCAATTTGAATTTACTTTCCAATATTATGAATACTGTAAGAACAACTATAATCTAACTCTAATTTATATATTTTTCAATGTATGAGTAGAATTAGCTGATGTTGAACTTTGTCTGCGAAAAGGATTCCAGGGTAATTTTCTTTGTCTGGTCTGAGCTTGTGCCAGAGTTCCTGGTGGACTAGGACCTCCACTGGAGACTCCAGAACTACTAGAATACGTCGAGACTGATCCTTTATTACCATTGCCATTCATGTAACCATTTCCATTGGACATTGGTGAACAAGATGATGGCTAAAAATCAGACAGTTATGTAATAAATTTAATTAAAAATCCTGGTAAGAAATCAGTGTATTCAGGCAAAGCTAACCTTCAGATAATTTTTGTCCATTGGAGTAACTAATCTTAAGGTAAGTGATGTGTTAGCATTTTGTATTAATTGCACTACTTCTTGATGGGGAGACCACTTCACATCTTTATTTCCAATACCGACTACATAATCACCTTCTTTCACACCACCAAGCTAATAGAAAAAACATATAAATTTTAAGATATCATTTGATTACCATGTTTAAATTTTACTTACATCTGCTAAGGAATGGGCGTCCACATGGGATACAATTACAGGCGCATCACCTCTTACAGCAAATCCATAACCATCGTTTTTCTACATACAACAAATACTTGTATTATAAAAACAAACATAGATTTTAATAAAATAATAAAATATGTATATATATATACCGGTTCTTTGTGTCTTTGTAAACGAACCACTCTAGGAGCGGTCCAATGTCTTCTTGCTGAAAATATAGCAATTGGCCCCAACGCTCGGAAAGGGTCTTCAACCCTGTGAGCAGCCAAATCTGGCTCTGTAACCGTTAATTGAAACTTGCTGGAGGCTGCAAAAAATGAATATTGCAAAAATTGCTTCAATAAGGGCGTCTTGAAAACGATAGATATCAATTTCCACACTAACCTTCCAAAGGTGGAGCGTCCAACATTTCAGCCAGTTCAGCCATAGTTCCTGTTTCTTCTTTTACAGCAGCTGCAGTAGATGCTGCTTCACTATGTGCCATCCTCAAAACTCTCGTCAATGCAGATTTTCCTTTAAGTTCCCTGCTCATACGTTGTAACCTCTGAGCCTCTTCATGACAGGCAATAGCTTCCCTCAAATGTGCTATTCCAAGTGCAACGCGATCTTCAGGCACACTTGAAGTACAAGAAGACTCTGGGCCTAGAATCGAGGCCGCAGAATGCTGATGGGATAAAGCTGGAAATAAATCGGTAATTGAAAAAAACTTGACTGATAATTCTATTGCTAGTGATTGTTTTCCCATCTAACCCGTATAATACTCCCGTTTTACACCAATAAGCGCCGTCCAAGAAGCAGGAACGAATTCTGCTACTGCATCAGCAGCAACTGCAGCGTGTAGATCACCATAATCGCGCGCTACTTGCCCAGCTTCACCAGCCAAATCCCTTTCGAGGTCTCCTCGAAGGGATAAGGCATCTTCATCTTCTTTATCAGTCTCTTCACCATTGAGAAGTGATCGGGATTGCAATGATAATTTCTCGTACAAGCATTCACGAGCTTGCGCCTATTAGGAAAAACGACAAACAAGTTTCATAACATTGAACAAGCCAGTGAAAACATAATTATATTTATATGTTGTGTGTTATATTTAACTAACCAGCATCATTTGGACTAAAGTATCGAGCACTTGTGGCCTTAAATCCATGGAAGGAGCATTCGTGAAAGTATCCAAAATATAACGGAAAACACCAGCTGCTCTTAGGAAGCTATCTACTGCGGAATCTAATCCTCTACTGCTATTGCGCTCCTTTAAAATTTTGAAACAACAATTAAAAATAGTTTATATGAAATATAATACTTGGTCAATATTAAATTTATTAACTTGTTTAGCACCAATTTGCGTGTATACAGCACCTAAGTTGAATAAAACGCAAGCTTTCTCAAATGCAACTGTTCTTTGGCAGGACGGTACACCTGTTGAAAATAATAAAATTGATCTATTATTGTAAATTGAATTATTATTACCTTATGAATATATTACCTATAATGATGATTTATATAAATCTTGGCGTAAGAAAATAAAAATATGGTAATATATATAAATATATTTAATACCTGTTAATGAGTCGTACCACTCAAAATAAACGCCTAAGCTTCGATCAGGTGGAAAAAATCTTCTCTCAACAAAATATAGCATATTGTAATACCTAAAGAGCAACGCGGCTCCTGATGAGTCTCGTGCTGGTGTCCTGATCGCCTAAAAGTAAAACAATTCAAGTAAATATTTATTTATGATTTATTTTATATTAATGACAAAATTAATTTACCTGTCTTGTATCCATAAGATCAGCTATGGCATCTTGGTAGATAGAAGCATCTTCACTATAATGTTCTAATATAAAATCCGTAAAAGGTTCACGAAAATCGACCTCTTTTGTTTCTTTAAGACCCAAAGGTATCATGGGCACTGCGACTTGTTGACTTGATATACGGAAATTTAAAAATAAAAATTAATCATATAAAATAGTCACATTTTGGTCAGAAGAATTTTTTTCTAAACACAAACTTTTTTCTTGATTTTCAGGTCCATTTATCAGACATATATGTCTCACATGGCTCATGTGGAGCTTCTTAGCATCAGACACATATGACTAACATGGCAATTATCGTGTTAAATATTAGCTTACCTATCATTTTGGTATATTTCTACGGAAGAATTTAATTCAGCTAATTGCTCCTTTAACAACTGCAAGTTGGAGTTAACGAAACTTAACTCCAGTGCAACTGTGTCTCGTAATTTTCGATTTGTTGTGGCCTAAGAAAAATAATAACTTTAGTAAAAAAATTTAATATTACTAAATAAACAAAGTAATTTGTTGTTAGAATTCGATTTACCATGTTTGACAATATTACCTTCCGTACAAACCGATTTATTAATGGTTATTTACAAACTAGGAAGTCGTTATATCTCTCAAGTTAATAAATGTTATAATATTATTGGAAAGTATCAAAGCAATGACAGACTATAATTTGTCAAACAAGAAATCTCTGATCAATGTGAATGCTTGATCGATTTTCATTCTAAAAAACCTTATTTATGTACAACCGTCAATGTTTTCACTAAGATTTTCTCGTAAATGCAGAATTAACAGTATTATTATAATCACTTTCTATTTACATAGAAAATCTAATCATTAGAATATAATTTCTATACAGTTGTCATTAAACATTCATGCCAATGATTTATTTTCGCTTTTTATTAATGATTTGAGAGGCAAAAGTAGAAGCAATCCAATAATTATAATGGGGGAAACATAATTGTGACAATAGAGAAACTAAGTATATGATAATAAATTATATTTATTTATTAGTTTAGTTAGATAAAAGCCAAACGACTTCAAGCATATATTCCTTAAAAGTAATAATAAATCCCTATAGAATAGAAACAATATATTCCCATAAAAAGTTGTTCCTTATTTAAATTCAAGTAGTATACAATTAGATCATACATTGACAAATTAAAGATTTATTTCTAAACAAGCATTTAGAATTGATCTAAGTGTAAAAATGATGTCGAAATGTCCAAAATTTACTCACATGCGCACCATCCCTTTTGTGTTCACGTTTGATCTCAAATGATTCAGAATAACCCAAAACGTCCAGAAAATCTAGCAAACCGGATTTTTTGGTATAAATGAACTTCACATTCGGGAAGTTAACAATTATTATTATCTTTAAATTTAGAAAGTGCAGAAATCCCAAAACGTTTTCGTATAGTGCATATAAAAAGTTAAGATGATATCAAAATTCGTTCTGATCTTCGCATTTCTTCAACTCCATATAAAATATAAAACCGCATATAAAATATAAAACCGTTGACCAATACGGAAGATAAACAGGCTTTCTCTTAATTACTTGACAAGATTATCAAGAACGAACTTATAAAATATCTAAAGAATTTTTATAAACATCAGTGGATTATGTAGACAAGGTCGAAGAAAAGGGGACAGACACCTGAGATAGAAGAAATTTTAAAACTAATAGTACAAGACTATTTTAAAACCTACATTTATGAGAATATAGTAATAAAAACACAATGAATATGTTTATTTTATACTGCTTGATAACGAGCTGGCCGAGGTTGGGATCGAACCAAGGATTAGTTTCTATAACCATTACACCACGATGGTCTCTACGATGATTCTATATTACATATTGTGAAAGTCAGCACGAATAATTATTGTTTTTCAGATCAAATCTAGCGATATAAAATGAATATCATGATATAAATATATAAATAAAAACGTAGTGCAATAGTGCGTATTATGAGCAAAAATACATTGTTTTTATTTTGCAATATAGTTGACGTTATAATGAAATATTGCGTGTGATTTCTTTTGCCAAGATTTCTAAATAAACCTTTAAATATTGCAATAAACTTCTATTAGAACATGCATAATATTATGAAGGAATATACATATTAAAGTAGTATTTAGTCAAATTTCAACTCAAAACCTGGAAATTTAATATATTTCTATTTTGTTTCATCAGAAACAATGTTTTTATCATGCCTTTATTAAACAATCAATAATTTCTTAGTATGTTTTTTTTCAAATTTCCCAAAAACTTTAAATTAAAAAAAATGGATGAAATTATAAATCGCTCAATTCGGCATTATATCATATAAAGTACTTTCACTGATTACGTTCCGATAAAAGAAAGTAAAATATACAATACGAGTTAAAACAAGATCAAGAATGAAATATTTCCGAACACAAAAATTAAATGATGCTAATCAACAAGGTTAAATGTCTTCAAGAAAAAAGAAGTTTGCTTTCGCTTGCTATCCATATATATTTTTAGCATGATACATTTGATATGTGAATAATAATTATTTTTTATTTTCACTTATATTAACCAATTTTTTTCTAAAAAATCTAAGTTATATACGTTATAAACCAGGGACGTACGTGCCTTGGCGGGGCCACGTATCAAAATTGGCGTGCATTGGAGTGATAAAGATTTTTCACAAAATATAAAAAATGTATAAAATTAAAACGGAATTGAATTGAAAATTTTACAAATGGTTGCAAAATATATATTTACCCTCCTTGCCTTTTTTATGTAACTTGTAAAAAAATTCAAAGTTGGTAAATTCAATCTGATGCGCGAGGTTGATGGGCTCCGCGCTTAATACTATTTAAACAAATAGTATGTTCTTAAAAAAAGATATTACGAATTTTATGAAACTATAAATCGACATACATTGGTACTAAAATTGGTCGGTTTTCAAAAACCGGTTTTGAAAACCGTTTTTTTTGGCGAAAATGATGGAATTCTAAAACCGTTTTTTTAGTGAAAAAGTCGGTTTTCACTTTATAAATGGTAAATGACAAATATAGCCAAATGTAAAAGATAGATGAAAGCGTTTTCATTCTTGAAATCATATCGGTTCGATAGCATTTGACATCTTATCAGTTTGCAATGGTTCGCAGAAAGTTTTTGTATATATTAATTTAGATTTTTATACCAGTGTATATATTAATTTAAATCAGTGTGACTTCTTTTTGAAGAAGTAACTTCCTCTACTCAAACTTAAAAAAAAGAGTTTCAAACCCTAGAAGCCACAAATAAAAGAACAAAAATCCTACAATTATTATATCAAGCTTTAAAAACAATTAAGCGTGAGAGTATTTTCTATTTCAGGAAATTTTGTGAATAAACAAAGGACACGTCCCCACTTCATCTTCTAGAATTACTGACTATTTTTAATTTTTCAAAATCACAAAAAATGCGAGAATGGGTCTCTAAAAATAGTCAGTAATTCTAGAGGATGAAGTGGGGGTTCTCAAAACATTGGCACCTGACCCATGTTTTTAGAAAACAGAGAACGATCGTCGTTAAACAGTTGTATCTCCTTTTTTTTATTGTACATGAACGATTTACAACTGTCCGTATGGACATTTGGAAAATATAACGGCTTATGCTAATTGATGTAAGGGCTGTAATTGATTGTGGTTGTTTGTGGAGTAACCTGTTTTATTACACTTTACTATAGAAACTTAGATGATGATGATGGGAAACGGGTGTTTGCGTTTATCCTTTTTGGAAAGTTATCTTACAGCAATATTATGACGAGGGTGTGTATCTCCGAAAATAATTTAAACTTTAAAAAATCTTCTTCTGCACATATTTTTGAACATTCATACTTTGAAAATATTAAAAAATAAAATGGGACTTTTTTAAATTCTAGACCCGAATAGAATAGACCTACTGTTATCCACTAAAATGTCAGTTAATTAAAATTTAACTAATAAAAATATTTTTTCTTCACCTTGTATAAATTTTCTGCTCCTGCCCGCAGGCGCAGTTCTTTGTTGATTTCTTGGTTGAGCTTGCATCTTCTGGACTGCAACTTCCCGCGGCACGTTGCAGCGCGCGGGTCCGAGCCCTTTAACAAAAAATACATTATTAATTAAACAAACACTCAAATAAATAAAATTTTGTTGAATTATAAAAGACTGACTTATTCCTAACTAAAATAATTAGATTTGAAATGAGTGATCAATGTACATTAATGAATTTCTCTTGAAATGCATATCAATTACCTGATTTATAAATTCAATTACTAAAGTAAGATTTATAGTTACAGTTTTTGCATTTAGAAAGTTCAAGTGCTGAAAATGATTAGAAATCAAGATTTTTCAAATGTCCGGTTTATCTGGAGCTTGTTTGTGCTAAAATTACCATTAAAAGGAGTATGCCGGTGCTAATATTGAAAGTAGTTTTGCATTCAATGCGCGAGCTATTTTAATCGATATGATACGAATGCAGTTTGCTATAAAATAATTTAATGGATAAATTACAGGTAAATATTTTGATAATATTCTACTATCTTACTATTTATTCTTACCAGCTTACGTTTCCTTTCAAAAAAATAATTTGTGTCCGGTACCCACTTCAGCATAGTAATAAAACAAACGCACTAAATTCTATCATTATGACTCTACACATTATTGTTACAATAACAATATTTAGTTGCTTTTTGTTATCAATAATTTACAAATTTGAATATCTGAGATTAAAATTCATTAGTCTATCAATTTGAAGTATGCTGAATATAAATGTTTTGGAATACATTTGTGCAGATGTTGCCAATCTTATTGACATTTTGTAAAACGCTATTTGTGAACTGTATACAAACTTAAAATGCAGTATGGGTGTTGCAAAAATTATTACGTACCAAATATAAAAGTCTTAAAATTATATTTATATTTTCAGTTCGTATAAAACGTTTTAGTTCGCCTAAAACTACAAGATTGTTGTAGTTCCTAATACGGTTGTTAGTTAGGAATAAAGATAATGAAATATAAAAATAATAATATGTAAATATTATATGTAACTGACTTGTATGAAATTAAATAATTTAAGCTAAACACGTCGATCTCTAGTTACAATGAAACATCATTTTGCGTTTCCCGGCTCCAAACGAGTGCGGTCACTTTAACCTTAACCTCCGCATGATTTTAGGTTAAGTGCTCATAAAGGCGGGTCGCAGGGAAAACCAATGTTACAATTAACGATTATTATTTAATTTAATATTTGGAAATAAAAAAATCAGTTTTTATGCTAAAATGTGAATCTTTGCTATGCTATTACATTAACATATTATTAATAAATTCAAATAAATCGTAGTTTGAATAAATAATCCTAATCAAGGTAATAATTATAACATTTTATACTGGAATTGAGATATAATTAATAATATTATCTAAAAATTTGACATAATAAAACAATAGCAATTTTAGGCATAGTAAGACTTATTTTTATGACTTATGAACAAACTTTTTTTTTTTGTTGTTGTTATTGTTAACAATAGATTTATTAGTACAAAATATATTAAATTTGTTAAAAATTCATTACCATACCATATCATATATTTATTATCATTTACATCACGTAGGTAATTATGATATGACGTTCGTATAAGTATCTGATCATTATTAATCCTGGAAGATAAAAATAAGCAATTCATATTCATATGGTGGTGTACAATACCATTTTAATTATAGAAAGTATTAGAAAGTTTGAAAACATTTTAATTATTTCTTTTTGCATATATACTTATCTGTGAACGTATTACATATGATAAGTTATTGATTGCAAATTATTAAAGTGATTGGCGAAAAAGTGTAAATATTAAATATAACTCTCTTAAGTAAATGAGAAATAAATCATAAGTAAATGACAAAAAGAAGAAATATATTATATTGCAAGAAGTTATAAAATTTAAATGCACACAAATTTTAGTATAATTTTTCATCGTAGAGTAATAATAATAGAGTATTTATAGAGTAATAGTAATGAATGCAAATCTAAATCTTAGCATAAATCGTTGATTTAATCGCGATTTGAACCGCGTTTTAATTATAATATTAGAAAAAAGTAAGATATTTCATTTTTGTAGAACAATAGCAAAGAACATGACCTGACCAGATGATTCTCTATCATTAACTATTTTTTCACGTCCTTGGAAAAGATCATCCACATATATAATTATTTTAATACTCATCTTTATACGAATGATTGTCTGCAATTACTTTGCAATTACGTTCACACTCTTATTGTTAGTTTGTTTAATAAGATTTTCAAATGATAAATACAACATACGTTATTATTATTAGCATAAAAATGTTTTATTATAAAATTCTCATGATTGCAAATAGTGGGAGAACAGAATCAGCCTTTTGTAATTAAGATATCATACATGGAAAACGTTTTATGGAAAATACTATGCACATGGTAATAAAGAAATGATAACACTCTTGGATCAGAAAGTCTTAGTGTTTATAATCGCTTATTAATTTTCAAAATTAATTGACTACTTAGGGGAAAGTCGCGTAACGTCGGACGGCACCAAGCACCGGACACACTATTTACCTGTGACGCACACGGCCACGGCGAGAGCAACCCTTTGCTGTTTACATTTGAGTGGTATGTAAAGATAAAAGTTCTACTTGATTGTTATCGGTAAAATGGTAGAATATTATAAGATCTTTTAACCAATTTTAGTAGGTGCCAGCAGATGAACGAAAATGTCTGTCCCTTAGCACCGACACTA